CATACAAACACAGCTAAATGTATCAAAAGTATGTCTACGTTGGTTTTTCTTTTTTTTTTTCCAGTAAGAGGATTTATTTAATAGAATTTTTGGACCAAAAAAATCGCAATATATCGCCTTGCTGACAGTATTGCAATATAACGGGATATATTGTATCGTGACCCCTCTTATCATTAAATGTATCAAATCGCCAAATTCTTGCCAATACACAGCCCTAATTAATACATGGGCTGGAATGATTCCTCTAATAATTTGAGTAATTTGATCACTAAAAATCCTCTAGGCAAATTATCTGCCTCCGAAGCTTCATAAAAAATAGATACTGTTATAATCAGCGCTCTTTTGGCTGTCCGGAATGTTGTTACACAATGCTACGATGTTAGCGCTTCCACTAACCGTTACTCTGTCGATGAGTGTATACTAAGTATTATTTTTAGCTATAGGAGACGATGAATCCCAAAACGAAGAGCTCAGAAAGCGAGAGAAATTGTAAAAAGTGTCTGATCATTTAAAACTAAAGAGAAAAGATGAGAACGTGCAATGTGCTGCATGTCCTCGATGTTTCTGCACCGGAACGAAACAGCTGATGCAACAAAAATATCACATTTGGTTAATTCCAACACATAAAAATGAATTTACAAAATTTAGTTTTTTCATTGATGGTTAAAAATGATTCAGTGACAGAGTGATTTTAATTAATGCCTCCTCAAAACTCACACACACAAATACAAGCAAGTGGAGCTTAAAATTCATGAGTTAATACAACTGTATTGTAATTTTACTTTGATTGCAGCGGGGTCATTAGCAAGTGTAGATTACCCCTTCACAATAGTAAATAATTGTATTTCTCATAAAATAAGCTTAAGTAATTACTGCAGAACATAACAATTTTGTAAAATCTGATTACTTGATCAATCAACAGAATAATCGATAGACCAATTGATTACTAAAATAATCATTAGCTGCAGCCCTACTGATTGCAGTCATTTCAAAGCAACAAATACTGACAGTTTTACTGACGATTAATTGTACACAATGCAATTTTACCCAACCCTATTGTCCTTATTATCATTTTAAGCTGCCTCTTAAAGAAAATGGGGGAGAATCGGTCCTGTAAAAGGAGTGTTCAGAAAATGACATTGATGACCTGTTTCTGTCCTTAATGTCAGAGTTCAGTCCTTGATCTTTATCCTGCTAAATCATCTGCCTGAGTGAGAGCAGATAATCTCACTCCACGTTTATCCTGTGTGGTTTCATTCCCGTCCTGTTGGTTGTGGTTTTTAGTCCACGGTTACATTAACTGTTCTCCTCTTGCTCGTGTAGTGTGTCTGTGGTCTGTCCTGTTGAACCGGAGTGGACGGGTGCTCTGTAATAATGTGATTACAACAGACTGCTTCAGCGTAGAAACATCAGCACATATTGATTGAACTCCACTCACCCAGACTTGCACACATAACAGCACGATCTTACAGACTAAATAAATCCATGTTATTTTTATTTATATATATTTTTAAAAGAGTGAGTGATGGTCTGCATTCTCTCCAGCAGGTGACACCTTCGCAGCAGGCTCCACCCCCTTCCTGTCAGGTTACCCAGGCCCCTCCCCGCTGACCTCTGACCCTGCATACAGATCAGCCAATCCCAGTGGGCTTCAAATGGCCCAGCTCTGGGCATCACACGCTCATGAAGGTAAATAATCTTGCAAAAGATTTTTTATGCTCCTCCCTCTCTCTCCAGTCCATTATTCAAAGACACAAGTGGTGTCACAGTTTCATGGTGTTTTTCACAGTCTGCTCGAGTTCAATGCCCAGAAGGCTTGTTCTTCTGTTTCTTGCTGCTTTCACCAGTGGGATCCTGTTCCAGTTCCGTGTCACGGCTCCCAGCTCTGTCCCAAATGTGTCTCTCTCTTCCTCTGTCCTCGACCGCTCCTTTCCTTTGCTGTTACTATAATCCATCTTTTGCTTTCTTCTTGTGTGATGCGCCTCTTCAGCTCTCCTGCCCCACTTTTCCATGACATTCCRCTCCTAACTGAGCCTATAAACATGCTTTCAGACACAAAGTGAACTTTCTGTGCTTTTCTTCAGGACTGCTCAGAGTGATTTAATCTCACTTCTCTCATGTCTCCCTGTGACTCCTTATCACATCTCATTTAGGTAGAAGGTCAGATAGGAGGCATCTGACACTACATGTTGACAAAACGAAGGGAGAAGGACAAACTGATTCTGTTTAAGCTTTCCTTTAAAACTGATTGCATCACCTGAGTGACACAAATCTTGTTCATTGCTTTCCAAACCCAGTAAATCAGATTGTGCTCAATTTGATTAGACTTATTTAATTTTAAGTTTGTCCTGAATACTTCCTTCAACCCAAAGATTGTTCAGGGGTACAGTATTGACACGTGATTGAAATTTAATTAAATGCCTAACCTGGAGCTTTATTGGGGTTGAGGATTTATTTTTATATGGTCTTGGTTGCTTTCTTCTCAGAAAAAACATAACTTTTGTAAGTTCGGCTGTAAAATAGTTTAAGTTTTTGTTGTAAATGTTTTGATAAAAAACAGCACATTTTCACTTGTTGTTTTTATTTACAAGACTATAAGAATAGGCGATAATATAGGTGTTACAAATTGTTGTAAAGGAGCAGTTAAAAATGTGAAATGAAGCAGATTTTTGAAGATTTCTATGTTTAAAAAATTCAAAGTCAGACTTTGACATCATTAAGGTTTTGTGTTACTGCTCAGCTTGTTAGATGTATAAATATGTGCTCTGTGTAAGATTAACTCTAGTTGGTGCTTTGATATCTGAAAATAAAGAAACTAAAATCTCCTTGCAGACTAAATAAGCTTTAACACTTGTCTGATATGACTGAYCTCCATCACAGCCTCAGAGATTTTTAATGCCCAGTAACTGAGTTTATAGCAGCTAAAGTTTCTAAAAGGTGTGGGTATTTCTGGCCAGCATGTGAAGAGCCAAGTTTTATATTATCTGTAGCTGCACAGGAGCCAGGCTGTTGGAGATCYTGGTCAGTTGTTATCTGTAGTTAAAGGAAGCTTTGGAATAAAATGTTTTTATTCACATTCAGACATGCCTCAAAGCTTTTTCTTCTCCGTGCTCACTTTTTTGTTATTGTCCACAGCTTTATCTTGGAGCAGCACAATGTACCCAGCACTCAAATATATATTATTTATTTGTTTAACATGACACCAGCAAGTATTTGAGGTCAAAGAGACACATAAACAAAAACTTTGTGCCGACTTTTACTCAGTGGTAAACTTTGATCTTTTATTAGCTGCTTCCTCTGTCATTGTTAAAGACTGTTTAAAAACACCCACAGTGAGGGCTGGGGGATTTTTCCACCTCCTCTGTGGGTTTTGCCAGAACAAGTTTAGAATCGGTGGTCTATATTAGGACCTGGTCTCTGAGAGCAGCAGCTGCCTAATGGGCAGACTCTAGATCAACAGACTGACCTGCAACACACGAGGTCAGCTTTAGTGACTTTATACAGAAAATAAATGGTTTTCAAATATTTTCAGAGGAGGTAAAACAGTATAAATGTAGAAGTAATATAATGTTAGTTACAGTTCTCTGACATCACTGATAGAATTTGGAGAGTCACCTTTTAGTTAACTCTAAACACTTGAAACCTAAAACAGAACAGAGACATTGTGACTTTCACAACATAATCCAGTCAGGATGAAAGGATTTTATTACAGGCGTTCTATCAGACTGCATTCATTTCATTAGATCTTGTGTGGCAAAATGATGAAATGATGTGAAATCCAGCCTCTGTTCATGTATTATATTCAGTGTATTCCAATTGAACTGATGTGGAACATTAACTCTGTTTTTGTTTTATTCACAAATTTCCCAAATATGAGCTAAACATGAAATCTTCACATATTTTCTTTGTCATCTGTTAAATTGTATTTGTGTCTTCAGGTTATCCCCCTCTTTCAAGCAGCCTGTACACCAGTCCATACCTGTCCTTGGGACACCTGGAGCCATCCTCCCTGTCCCAGCACCCCCTCTACGACCCTCATAAAGGTTTGTCTGTCTGTGACTGAATTTTCTCACACATTCTGCTGTGAATTAACACCTTTTTAGTTGAGACTTTTTACTGTGGTGAAAAACACAAGCTGCATTTCCATTGACCATGAAAATGCGCAAATTAGAATTTCGAAAATAAATTTGCTCAACGGAAACACGTCAATTTTGAAAATACTCTTTTTTTRGACAAAAATGTTTTTGCTCTAGGATGAGGTGGTTTTTCGGCCGTATCGAAATTGGTGTGTTTCGCAAAACTGCAATGGAAACAATTTTTTCACATCACGGGAGTCACGTGATCAACAACCGGCTGTTTCTACTGGTGAAAAAGATGACGAAGAAAAAGACAACAAGAAGTAGAAGTAGTAGTAAAATCAGTAAAGTTGTAAAAGAAAGTAGTAAACTCACCGACTACAATTTCCCAAACACGCCGCATACATAGCCGCTTCCAAATATAAGGGGCTTGGCGCTCGAAAGCCTCAATAAGACGCCGACATCTCCTCTAATGATGAACACAAGTGTCGTGGTAGCAATTATGCATGTGTTTACATCCATTGCCGCCATGTTTGTAATGACTTATCACGAGAACAAATGTATTCACACGTGACGACTTTAATAGCATTTCTTACTTCATGGAAACACCGCAGTTGCGAAACTGTTTTTTCGACATTAATAGAATATCGACAAAGTTTTGCGCACATTTGCAATGGAAACGCAGCTAGTGACTAACCTGGGCACTAATTTTGTAAAATTTTTCTCTTTAATTTTCATTATACATGCTTTGGATCACTTTTATTGTTGCAGACATTCTGTAGGTTTGTTATTGCACTTTTTCCATAAAATGACACTCTGTAAAAATCACGTTTATCTCTTCCTGTTCTGCTGTGTCCCACAAGTGCCTCTATAATCTGTTTCAACAGTTTGTGTTTACATTCTGGTTTTATTTGTGTGTTTTTGTTTCAGATGGATACTTCCTGCCATCCTCATTGAGACAGTCTCCTCTCCACCCACCGTCTGCCACATCGACCACCTCGTCCAGCTCCACGCCCCCTCAAAGACCGTCCCGGGATGGGGGTAGGGACAGATCTTACCGGGCAGAAAGGGAAAAGGACCGAGAGCGTTCGCGAGAGGAGCTACGACCGCACAGCGTGGTTGACCTGACGCTGGAGGGACGGAGCGATGAGGACCGAAGGGTGGGCAGAGACCGGGAACGAGACACAGATAGAGACAGGGACAGTTGGTCCTTCCATCCTCACCAGCAGAAGTCCCACTCCCAGCCTTCCACAGCAGAAACCAGATCCAGACTGTCACCTCCACAGCCCTCTTTTCCTCCCAGCGGGGGTGGAGGGGACAGCAGGTTTGTTGGGACAGAAAAGGACAGAAGGGGTCGGGATGAGGAGGGCACTTCTCGACCCCACCACAACCAAAACTCTAACAACAGTTCAAACTCAGACCGGCAGAGGAGGAACGAGTCTGTGGCCACATCAGGCGGGACCCTCCATGTCTCCTATGTCCCTCCTCCTCTGCAGCCGTCCAGTGCTGGTCTCCCCCACCTTTCTGCCCTCCGAGAACAAATCAGAGAGCAGCGAGTCAGCGCGACTACATATGTGCCTTCTGTTGAGGTTTTTGATGAACGGGCGGGGCCCATCCAGATCGCCTCGCAGGCCCGTGACAAACACAAAGACAGAGAACCTGAAAGGGAGAGGGAGAGCTACAGGTTTCATGAGAAAAGCCTGATGGAGCATCCTCGCCTCTCTCTGTCCGGCGATGTGAGCAATCAAAGAGAAGAAGGGTCTGTGATCTGTTCCAACGGTTCCTTAGTTAAAAGAGGTCAGGACACTTCTTTCTCCTCAAGTCAATCACGGTTCAGCCCAGAGACCAGGGATGTRCCCAAACACTCAATCCGAGTCGGCGTTGAGCAGATGGGGGCAGACCCTAAGTGGAACGCCATCAGCCCGTTGGCGAACTACGCCACAAATCACATGGCTGCTCTAGCAGCTCAGCACGGACACYCACTCTCCTCTCCACACAGCCAGCAGACACAAAAGTCAAACTCCCCTCAGACGTCCCATCGACCCAACAGTTCACAGTCCTCCCCACAAACACACTCCTCCCAACATGGACGTGCAGGTGAGGAGTGCAGTCAGCGGCGCTACCTGGACCAGTCGGTGCTCTATCGCCCCAGTAGCTCGCTGATGAGAGCTTCTGGCTGCGGAGATCGTGGACCGGGTCTGGACTCTTCAGAGGTTTCAGCCATGCAGAGTCTGATTAAATACAGTGGGAACTTCCCTACAGAAGGCCCCGTTTCTTCCAGGCACATTCTGGACGGACGAGGGTCTTTCGGCGGTTTGGGTAACCTCTCGATGGACGCCGAGCGGGACAAAGAGCGAGAGAGGGACAGAGACAGGGTTGCTGTTGGATCGAGTAGTTCGGGGGCAGTGAGGATGCCCCCTCAGCTGAAGAGAGAACAGGAACGGCCCGACAGCGCCCGGTCATTTGGGCGTGAGGGGGAGGGAGAGGTGCGGCACCCTCCTGTTGGGATCGCCGTGGCCGTGGCCCGGCAGAGAGACAGCGGGAGCAGCAGTAAACCAACCAGCGGATCCTCAGACACACCACGACCCCTGCTGCAAACCACTATTAAAGGTAAAGATTTTACTCATGTTGCTGTTTTGTTTGCAGCTTATTCAGGGTTCATGCAGGCTCTAAAAACGTCTAAAATAAAAAAATCAAAATTTTAGGCCTAAAAAAGTCTTACAAATGCCCAGATTTTCATTCAAGGTCTTAGATTTAATTTAGTTGAGTCTTAATTTTTTTACTTACGATCATTTCCAACAAGCATTGGCTGCTTAAATAAACAGAGTAAAGCGCTGTAATCAGACACTGATGCAATCTGTCTTCATGAAGTGCTAAGTTTGCTACTGGTCTTTGTGCACATTAAAGTGTAACTTACCCCCCCTGTGAAAAGATAACTCCGCCCCAAGGCGAAATTTGAAAAATGCATAAAGGTGGGTAGGGG